AACCCACCATTAGAACTGTTAAAAGCCAAAAGACCCTCTCACGGCTGAAGGCTCTGCTCTTAAGTGGTATTACCAACCATTCTGGAGGAGCAGTTGATTCAACAATTCTAGTCCTTTCCGCTTTTCGGGAGAGGCGACATTCAAGTCGAGTTTGCTAGGAATTTTAAACGAAAAATTTGCCAAATATCTAAGCTTTTAGACCAGGAGGTTCAACATAAGTACCAAACCAAGCAACAGTCTCGCGGATGAATAAAACTGTCCAATCTTTAACCGCTTAAAGTTTTGGTATCAAAACAAGCGAAAGGCCGGGATTTTGAAGTTACCCATTTATGAAAATTGCGAACACGTCACATTGCGTATCGGAAAACGATTAAATCAGTAGATTAATCCGCTATATAAGGCTCAAATTTTATTATCGACACAAAAAAATACCTGTAATCCATGTGTATTGAGTTTTTTAATGGCAACCACGATGGAATCTCCCTGCCCATTTGGAGGCACAATTGTGCCTTTATAAACACTACCAAAACCACCTTCCCCAATCTTCAGCAGCCTGTTGAAATTTTTAGTTGCTTCTCTCAATTCTGACACAGAAAAAACCCTCAAATTCTGCTCTTTTTCTTTATACATTTCTGTTATACTCCGAGGGGATGAAGCTGAACCAGTGGATTTACATGCCCGCCTTGAATCCATATTATCTGATTTTCGTTGATTACTCAATTCCGGCGCCGATCTCGGTTCCCGGGATTTCGACTTGTCTTTGAATATTGTAAAACACTTCATCATTTTTCAAAAAATACAAAATCGCCCCAAGCCCACAAGTTTCTTCTTCTTTTCTTTTTTTTTCCTGCACGAGCTATTTGAAATTGATCAAATCAATTCTGCTAAAAGGTGGGCAGAAAAGGGTATGTAAAAAAGCACAGAAAATGTGAACGATTGGTTGGGGGAAAAAAAAAAAGGAAGGAAGCAAAAAAGAGATAAAAGGGTGCAGAAAACAAAATTCAAGTGGGAACTAATTGCAGAAAACGAGCAGATCATTAACCAGTCGAAATTCAAGTGAGAAAACGAAGATGGAGAAGGAGAAATTGCTTTATAATAAGGAACTTGTACGTGCGTGAAATTTTCATACAAGTGGAATTGCGCTTTGCAGATAAATAATTATGAAGAAAATCGGATATTCAAAGAACTAAACCACAAATACGTGTAGCGTTGAAAAAATTGAAATTGAATTGCAGTATATGAATTCGAGGACGTACTCATAACGAGTTTGCCCAGAAAGTTTTCGCATACTAGTACTAGTCAAACTTCAAAGTGGAAAATAGCCGACTTATTAATTTTAACTTTTTATTGTTATTTATTTAAAAAATGTTTTAAATAGTAATTATTAAAAAAATGTGTGGAAAAAAAATTAGATTTATGTATAAAATATTTTATTTTGTGAATATATGGTTGACAATGAATATATAGTAAAAAGAGTTTTTAAATAATGATTTAAAAAACATTATTTTGAATAGTGAATTTTTTAAGAATGTGTAGATAAAAAGTATAAAAAAAATTTAAATTTATATGCAAAATATTTTATTGTATGAATGTATAGTTGAAAATAAGTATGTAAATAAAAGAGTTCTGAAAAAATATGAAACAAACAAGAACTAAAGACTGATCATTTGTCTAATACATTAATAGGAACGGCGTTTAAAACTTAATTTTTTTTTTCAGAATTAAGTTAAAGATATTATAGGAAAAATTAATTTTGCTAGGAAAAATTGTACGGTTAAAATCGATATTTGATAAATAAGTAACTTAAAAGTAAATTTATCAATCACGTTCTTCCTCGTTAAAATTTCTCTCACTTTCGAGCATCTCCATTTCCTTACCACCCCCTCTATTGTGTGTTCAAATATTTGAACGCTCATTCGACGCTTTGAAGGATTATTATAGAGAGAATATGAATAATTAACACAAAGGTAGTAACAAGCTTAAAAATTAAGTATTTTTAACTTAGCGTTTGTTGAAATAAGTATTTTTTTTTTTTTTTTTAGATTATAAGTTAGCAGATTGCATAAACTATATGGTTAAAATGAATAAAAGTTGTTGGTCCAATTAAATATGCAGTTAAAAAATAAAGTTTGACAAATTTATAATCTTAAAATTGCTTTGTCAAATAGGGACTACATGCTTGTTTGGAAGTAATTATAGGTTGTCGAAGTTATAAATTAATAAAAAAATTAATTAAATTTGATTTAACAATTTAAAAAATTAATTTTAAAATTACGTAATGAAGAAGAAAGGAGTGACGTCACAGAAGACCAAAGACTAAAAAAATTGAAGAAAATCTTATCACAAATGTTGTCTGTACGTAATTTCCGCGTTTTGCGTTTTCGGATGGCAGTGTGAACGTTGGAATTGGACCCGACCCGATAAGGACTAAGAGGTCACGCTCCGTGACAGCTGGAAGCTTTAATGCCAATTGCCAACGGTTGAAGTAATCTTAAAAGTTAATTGTCCTTTAGGTCCCATACTTCAACTTTGTAACGATTAGGTACTCAATTCCCCGGGGGTGGGGGGTGTTAAACTTTTTTATTTTTTTTCCTTTTCTTTTCTGTTTTCATTTTGGTCGTAAGTAGAAAATAATTATTCTAATGTTAAATGTGGTAGTTATCTCCAAATTTAAAATTGCTTTAATTTGGAATTTTCTTTTGTATGTACTAAAAATTAGTCCTAAGAATACATTTATTCAAACAATAGACTTTTCCGTTTGACAAACTTATAAATGGTTTGTAAAGAGGAAACGTATGGGTAATAACGAGTACGAAACATAAAATAGCGACAATGTTTGGTTGGCTGATTTAAGTATTGTCAAAATGAACGAATCGTTCAAGTCTAAAGTGACTCAACTCATTAAAAAATTGGACAAAAACCAATCCAACTCGCTTCATGGCAATTAACGGATAGGTTAGCCGAACTATGTCGTGTTGGCTTTCCGACCATTGATCCACGAGGAATAGCCAATTGGCTCATCTTATTGTATTATTATTAGTAGTAATTTCTACTATTTAAATGCGATTTATATTTCAAAAACAATTTATTGATATAGTTTTATGAATAGCAATATGGGTGGTGGTGGGTCAAGAAGACATCCTCATCTCATCAGAGATTTTAGAGAGTCAAGCAAATGATATTAGAGTCAGAGATTAAGCCAAACCATGACTAGCGAGAAGAAAGTGTAGGCTAGTGCCATCGAAGAGGCTTGACAGGAGCACCTGAGGTTTTGAAAGCCGAAGCCAAATAACGAACTTGAACTTGGCGAGAGTTTCTCAGTAGATTTTCGGGCTCAGTAGATTTTCGGGCTCCAGGGCCCAACCAAGGACTTATGGAAGTCGAGGGTCCTCGATCGATATTGGATCAAACAATAGGGGGTGACCCGGTGGTGCATCGAAGTCTTGAATGACAAAGACCGGGCGCAAGTCGCCCTTCTTTTATCCTAGCTCATTGATGATCCTTTTGACACAAGATTCTTAGCAGCTCAAGAGACAAGCAGAGCAGGATAGAGATCAAAAAATCTTCATTTGTTTACTTATTTATTTATTTTTAAAATATAATTTAAATATAAAAATGAAACGTAATAAAAAGAATCAAGATGGGTTGGGAAATTTTTTTCATCCCTGTAATTTAAAAATAAATCAATCGAAATATTTGTTTTTTAACTGTAGTTGTACTAAAATTTCAAGAAATATAGAAAAGGTCAAAAAAATGGTGGGGTTGCCCAACCCAGCCACACATTTGGGAGGATCATGGCCGTTGAAGTCGCAAATTTGAAGGCCTGAAGTGTACCACCATGCACGTGGTTGGTTCGAGCCAACTCACTCCCTCTCTCATTTTGACATTTATATCGATTCAATTATGATTCTTAAATCAATTAAGATAGTTAAGGTGAAAATCAGAGGAAGTTTTAATATGAACAAAAAAGTGCATATTGTCTTGTGGTATTTAAGTGCAAGTATTGAATCCCCTTGGTACACTAGGTAAGATATTCATTACTTATTGTACATCCCTAAAAGAATCTCGAGGTTGAGCATGTTATAGAGTTGAAATTTTCTGCACGTTAAAAAAATTTCTTACCAGAAATTCTACAGATACTCACAGGGGAGTGGGCCCCATGTGAGTTATATATTGTTAAAAAAAATGGGGCCCACCCCATGGGTGTATTCTGTATGATCTCTAGTTTTTTTTTTTTCATGTACATATGATGCTTCTCTATAAAGTTACTCGATAAAGTGTGGATGCCAAGTTGGGCATCACTTCTTCATGTTGGCTTATATGTATGCAAGTTGAATGTAGTAGTGCTTTGTTAATTCTTTTTCATAACTAGTTGATGCTCTTCTATTGACCTTATGTTACTTATTGTGTTGCTTAAGCAAGAGCCTTGGCTTCTTATGAGAAGGATACAACCTTGGTACTTCTCATCCTATTTGTCTAAGTTGGAACTCCGAACTTGCACTATTATTCGAAAAAATTCAACGTTAACTGTGTCAATTTGTCAAGTCTATATCGTACCAAATCATACCCCAAGTGTAACATGTACTCATTTCCCCAAGAATGTGTATATCTTACTTGTAGGTGAAAATAAAAGTATTACTATTTACTTACAAATAAAATTTTCAAGTTGCCAAACAAGTCTCTCCTCTCTCTCCCTCTATAGAGTCAAAATTTATCATTTCTCAAAAGAGAAATATCAACAATAAAAAGGTTGGCAAAGCTGGTCCTCTATGGCTTCTACACTTGGTCCTGAATTATTGGCTCAGCTATAAAAGTTTGTCCTATACGATTCCTGACCCACGCTAGGGAAAAATTTCATTAATTCCATTATGTCATCATCAATGCCATATAATATTTATTAGAACGATAAAGAAAAATAAATCCAAATAATGTCAAAACATCTTACTCAAGTAACAAAATAAATGTAAATCCAAAACATTTTTTCTTTAAAATAACTTTACATGTAAATTCAAAACTTTAATCTATTTTTAATTATATTATTTTTTTACAAAATCTATTTGGAAAAAAAAAGACTCAAACAAAAACTAAGTACGATAATTGAAATAAATGTTTATTGCTACTACGCGTCATTATGTGGATTGACGTAGGAAAAACGTCCATCGAGAGACTTTCTTCATTTGATTTTGAGGTGCATCAACGTTTACAATCCTTTAAATATCACTTTCCAGAAAAGATTCGACATAAATTTTTGGTCAAGACTATGACTTTTTATATGTTTTTACAAAAATGAAAATTAATTAAATTTACATAAATACTTCATATATTTGTAATCTTCATGGAAAATTCAAATTAAATTTCAGTTCAAGTCAAGATAGGATAGAAACGTAAGTTAAGATCTATTATCGCGTGGACCTATCAACGAAACAATTTTCAATTAAAGAAAAATGTAACGAGTTTTGAAATTCTAATGATGGTTTGAAATCAAGTGAGACCGTTCAAAAGTTAAAATTACAAAATTAAATTTCTGTTAGAAATGAAATTGATAAATTATAATCGTAACCTCTAAAATAAAATATAACTATTAAAATTTTAATACAAAAATAGGTAATTTGGTCAATTATTTATTATCAATTATTATAATTTCAAAATCGCTTTAACCTAGCTATGAGTCGAGCCGAGCCAAAAACAAACTCGGGCTCGGCTTGAGCTTTTTTGGCGGAGCTTTTTTCGAGCTCGAGCCGAGCTCGACCAAAAAAAATAAGGCTTGACCAAAACTGACTCGAGCCTTAGCGGACCGAACCAAGCCGGCTTGATTTCTTATTTTATTTTTATTTTTTCAGCTATTTTAGCTGCCAAGCCTGTAGCTTTAAAAAAAAAAAAAATTTTTTTAATTAATTACTGCCCGCCCGGCCCGGCTCGAGCCGACCCCTCAAAATGGGGCTCGACTCAGGCTTTTTTTGGGCCGAACCTGAGCCGTCCGAACCAACAAGCTTTTTTGTCACCACTACATTAACCAAACAATCCATACAGCATACGCCAAAGTCAAAACTCTCTTCGTCTTCAAACATTTAGAACAAAAAAGCTCCAAATATCGGTGATTTTCATTCTCATAATAATTTGATTTACCATGTCGTCGTTTCTTAGCTTATCAACAAATTAAGTCCCTGTTTGGTCCTGATTAAAATTTGATTTTAATCCAAGTCAAAGTCAAACAATCAATATTAACATCTTTCATAAGTCCCACAACTTTTTAACTACACATTTCAAAAATTTCTATCACAATCTACTAAAAATCTAATTTTAATCTTCACCACACACACTCTAAATGACAATTATGTGGATGAAAAAAATATACGTTCAAATCACGATTTAAAACATGATCAAACCATTAAGTTAAAGTTCGAAACAATATCAAACATTTTAAATGTTTGATTTAAGTATGAATTTTTTGAATAGTTTGGTCCTCATTTTTTTGTCAAAATGTATTTTAAAATAATGTTTTGTTGAAAAATGTGTGATTAAAAATTAAGTAAAAAATTTCGATTTACGTATAAAATTATTTTATAGAAAAATGTGTAGTTGAAAATGAATTTTTGGACAAAAGGGGATCAAACATGCATAGCCGCGTTGGTCCGTCCCTGGAGTGGTCCGCTTTTGTCCTAGTCTTTGCGGTGAACGTGCACTTTGACAACTTCTAAGTCATGTTCACTACCTTAATTCTCACCTGCAGACAAGATTTGACATGAATTTGTCTATGATTTGACTATAGTCTTCCGCCGTACCTTACATGTTTTATTTACAATTTGCGTTAAGCAGCTCGTTCAAGAATAAAATTAGACATTAATTTATTTTATGATTTGTTACGAAATCATTTTCAACTACACATTCACAAAATAAAATATTTTACAAGTAAAAAAAAAAAAAAAAAACTCCTACTTTTCAATCACACATTTTCCAAAAAATAATATTCCAAACTCATTTTTTCCCCTTCCAATGATAATCAAACAGGCTCCAACATGTCACCTAGAAAGTGAAGCCTATTCAAGCATTGACAATCACACACTTTCCCACCATTTGCATCATCTATTCAAAACAAATATGAAAACATCACAGTAACCATCCAAAGACGAGGCATCAAAATATATAAGAATTCGTTTGATTACAAAAGTGAAAAATAGGTGTGAATAAAATATTTTACAGGAAATTGAATTGTCTAAAAAATGTTTTACTGAGAATTGCTGTTAATTGTTTTTGATTTCTATAATTTTTCACTTGAAAAATGTTGAAAATTTAGTATCCATTTGATTTCGTTTTTTGTGAAAATTATCCATTAAAGTGATAGTTTTTTTCTACCATTGAATTTAGAATTTATTTCAATTGTAAAAAAAAATAATAAAAAAATTTAAAAAAATTATCATAACGAATACCATTCGTTTAGCTTTGTTTTGCATAAAAATTGTCAATAAAAGTGATAAAATTTTTTATCATTATGTCTAGAATTAGTGGGAAAATGAATTCAAGGAAATCAAAGAAATTGTCATCGTGTAAGCTAAAGTGGGAAAATGGATTCCCTAGAAAAAAAACCAATCAAAAACATGAAAAGTGGGAAAATGTTAAAATCCATGGAATTGGGTGGTTAACACACCCTAATTATTTCTTCCTTTTTCTCATTCCTCTTTTCCTCGCATAGCCCACGTTTCCATGAGAAAAAGCTTGTACATATATTCTCTAATGTGTGAGAATACCAAGTCCCTACTTGGTTTGGATTAAAATCAAATTAAAATTTCAAATAAGTCACTTAATTTTAACCACACTTTTCAAGGGACTCGTAACTTTTCAACAACATATTTCATCAATTTTTATCAAACTTCACTAAAAAATTGATTTTAATTCCCACCAAACAGGCTAAATATTATACTAAAAATCTTTATGTTTCTATATACAAAAGTTGGACCATTGCGTTTCGGTTTAAATCTTTTTTTTTTCTCATTATCCAGTGTTCACAAATCTTTCAAAACTACATCTGATCCAGACAACGTCATACATTACGCTGCCTCTTAACTCCAACACTCCATCCATGGCAAATCAATGAAGAAACATAGCAGGAAGATGAAAAAATTCAGAAAATAATCAAATTCTTTGGTTTGCTATTCACATCAAAACATGGGCCTAGCTAACATGCTTTAGCTGAAAAAACTCCTTCACGTCCCCACACATGCATTAAAATCCTTATAAACAAAGAAATTTAGGAAACAGTTTGATATGGAATCTCAAGAAATAATCTGAAATAATAAGCATTGATTCAAATCAAGATATCACCACATTAAATAAAAAGTAATGTACTGTGGGCCTTGGCAAATAATTTGACTGCCAAAAGCTTTACTCTCTACCATAAACAAGAAAAATACCTTACAGGCTGGTAAAAGAAGTTCCAAAGAAGTAATAACTTTAAACTTCACACCTGAAAGGCTTCTCATGGCTTGAGCTTCACGGCTTGTGGACCTTGAACCCGAACACTCTAGGTGCATAGCTCTGTGAAGACTTCTGTGGTTTGAGGTGTCCATAAGTCATCAGAAATAGGTGGGGAAACGTTGTTCCAAAATAGGCTCCATCAATGCCTTCCAATCAGTTAAAGAAACAAATGACGGCAATTAAAAGACAATAAAGATTAAGAGAGTTCTAAATTTGGGAGAAGAAATTGATTTTTCTAAACCAAGCTTCACAACTGCAATTGAAGTCAATCTCCGCACACAGATTCACCATCTTTCAGGCATGAACAAAATTGAGAGAAATCGAATAGAAGGTGGAAAAGAAAAGGACAATTTTGAATAGTTTCAGCATTTTCAGCCCCTTCATTCTCTTTTAAGCATGCCTCCATGTTTGATTATTAAAGAACCAATATAAACAAGTTTGGCAGAAAGAATGAAATGGTTGAAAGTTTATAAATCAATAAGTTGAATACGGATGATAGTTTGAGTTCCACCAATCGAACAGCACTAACTATGTCTCTATGAAATGATTGCAAAACTGAAATAAAAGGATACTCTCCTGGAACCTGGATCGAGGAGTGTAAATATCTTCACACTTGGGACAATACATTTTCACTGTACTTAAACGGGGGACGTCCGATTCACCAACAGGTAGGCAGGGTTGCCCACAACAGTATACTTTTGGGCATCTCCCAAACTCAGCATTCTTGTACTTCTCTAGCTGTGAAAGTGCAATGATTGGAGGACAAGCTTTAACCAGCAAAATTACACAACTAAACAGGATTGAAAGAATGAAGCAACATTGATGATGGAGATCGAAGTTGACACCAGATATACTGCTTTACACTTACTATGAAACGAACCCAAGTTTTCGGGACTGTAAATAATGATTATCCAATTTCTACTTTTCCTGGAACAATTAAATAGGTCCTCTAAACCTAAAGATCCAAAATTTACTCTTAACTGGGAAAAGTTCAGAAATTTTGGGGAAGTAATTTAATTCTAGTAGGTAAACCTAACGTACTGAATTAATAGCCTAACTAAAACCTAATCTATAACCAACTAAACTTAAAAGTTCAATAAGAGCAAAAATACTACTCCAAGGACTTGTGAAAAGATATTAAACTCTTACTCCTGCCTGCATCAGGTTGCCAGCTCACATATTGCATAAAAGCTGAGGAACCAAAACAGTAATATTATAGAACCAAGTCTCACCATAGCGGCCAATCCTTTAGTTGTTAATATGTAACGGACATGTATTAGACCATAAAGCATCTCAGCTGCAGATTCAACCAATTCATTCTGCTCCTCTGTAAATGACTCACCTACAAGATTTGGATTTCCCAAAAATCATAATCAAGTTAAAACTATATACACAAAAGAGCCATGATATATAAATCATACACAAAGAAACCATAAAAATTAATGTAACAGAAAGTGAAGGGCACATATGTCCATGATTTAGCATAAGCTGTATAAGTAAATAGGACACAGCAGATAAGAGATGCCTCTGATGTGCAATGTGATTGCATTTTCAACTTCACTTGCTATTAGATAGCATTTTTCCTTGGGATTTGCCAATAACAGAAATCTCATTTTCAGGTTTTGCATTTCCACATCCTAGCACCTTGTTTACACTTGGACAGGATTCGGGTACTGCAATCAAATAAACCCTCTTCAAAGCATCACTACACTTGCCTTAAGCAGTAAGCAACTTGTCGTCTACTATGTTTAAATATGACATCCGCTCCACCACACAAAAAATGTTCAGCAGAGTAAATACTTTGTAATACCTACATGTTGAACCACTTAATCTAAAAACTTAAACTATTAGAGCAGATCATATGTATATCATTTAATTCTTGTCTTCAACATGCCTCTACACGTGTATGTGGGGCTCATTTTTTCCTCATGACATGTTCACAACTTCAAACGGGAGACAACAAGACTTGAACCCAGGAAGGGGCCTGTGCTTGCTTTGGTACCACGCTGAACAACGATTTAAAATTTTAAGCTATAAAATAGGGTCACATGTATAACATTTAAATCTTGTCTTCAACACAACAGGTGAAAAAAATAAAAGCAATTCATCCTTTTGAGAAAGCCAACTAAGTGCAAATTGAAAATAGCAATAACTTGCAAGAAATGTCAAATGAAACAAATCTTGTGTTTAACTCGTGATTGTACTGATATAATCAAATCATAACTATAATTTTTGTTTTGAACTTCTTCGAAGTACCGAAGATTTCCCCTTTCAGTTGTTCTTGTAGGGCTACACCTGGAAAAATACTGTGGCCTAAACATTACTTGGTTCACAAGCCTCGAGGAAAACACTAATGTTAAGAACAATAGTCATAATTCTTGAAAAGAACAGATTCAAACTTTTAGGTATATGAACTGAATTATAAACTTCAAGAAACACTTGTTAAAACAATAATAATTCTTTTAACAAGAACTTACCAAGTGAGGATTCAACATCTAGAATGAGATCAAGTGCATAGTCATAATAAGGAATTTGACTGCTTAAACCACAGAGGTTGAAGTCATCTTGGATGTAATCATCGTCAACCTCACAGAAGAACTCATTCCCACGAAGATTGCAAAACCACGATATCCAACAAGTGTCATCCCCTTCAGAACCACTTACATCTGATTCCTCACTGTCTGCCTCAGATACTTCAGCTATCAACACAATAGAGAAATGTCAGCAAAGATGTAAAAATTTACTAATCTTCTGCAGAGTCAAGAGGAAAGGTGTGCCAACAAATACAGTTACACACTGTTCAAAGTCTCTTGATTTTCTATAGGTAGCCATGCTGAATAGAAAAGGAAAGGTTTTATGTCCTTGGGCATGGCACTGCCATACAGACAACAAAATTCTTCTCTCAGCAAAAGGCAAAGAAATAAGTCTCACGAGCAACACCAGACATGGCTGCAGCATGAGAGAATGGGAGAATATGTAGAGAGGAATCCCAGTTATACCTCATATATCAAACCAATTATCTATAGTATTCAGAAATAATAGTCTTATTTATACATAAAATTCCTCATAAAATTGGGAAAATAACAAAATAATAAAATGGATTATTTCTTAACATAAAACTAAAAAATATGACAAGAAAGATTAGAATCTATTTTTATTTTTATGCCCAAAATAAGAGCACACTATTGGCAAGTCTTAAATGAAATCTCCGTTACATAGACGTCATTAAATGCTACAAGTCACTAGGTTAACACACGCAAAAATGATATCTTGTGTTTCGGGTGCTGCGTCTTTTTTACTATTATCCCCAATTCATGTCTAAAGATAGCAGTTAAGAAAAGACAATTTTTATCACAACCGAATAGCCATTGAGAAAGAAACTTCTGCATTTACATTCATTCTTTATGTGAAGTGAAATTGAATAGGAAAATGCAGATTGCATCTGTCTGGTTCTTGAACCTGGGGGGATAAATGTGACAAAAATCAGCAAAAATGCTTATGCTGGCTGATTAGGAAGAGGTCCCATCATTTAGAGCCATATAGTTTCCCAAATAATTAATGTTAAGAGGCGTGTGGTTGAAAAGACATGAAATGTATTCTATGAGAGTGAAAGAAAACGATTAATGTCGAGAAAGGAAGTAAACATCCAACAACGAGATCAAATAATCTGTATTCTCTAATTCATTAAATTTTCTTGGGCGAGGCACTAAGACTGCATTGGAAGTACACTTCTCAGCGTGAAGTGTCAAGTGGCATAGGTGCCTAGGTCCCTTCTAAAGAAAATACTTTGTAATGTTGTCTTCATCATGTAGGGAGAAATTCAGAGTTTGACGTCCACAATGATGTACAGCCACATCAATATTTTCCTCATTTTTAAGAAAGAAAATGTCACGTGAATGAATAAACGGATGCAGAAATGACATAATGCACAGAACAGACCGACAAAGTACCATTCAAACAAATACATAGAGAAAATGAAAATGCGGGGGTGGGGGTTATGTATAATTCTTTTTTCTTTGCTAATTTCTTCGGATACATCTACTCCTATGACAGGTTATAATCAGATTGGTTTAAGTTGCATAAAATTTGCTGGTAGTGGTGGTTAGCTGAAGGGAATTGAGAAAAAGGATCAGCAAGACATCCCCAAATTTATTGGAATTTCATTTGTTCTCTTCATAGATATTCAACTCAATAAGGATGGTCAGCCAACCTTTCGGTTTTGCATTTAGGCAATTTTATGCATCAATAGAACCAATCAGGAGGAAAGAGGAACACAAAAGTAATAACATTTTGTTTACAACTATGAAACACCATACTTCAGTCTGGTTATTTTGTTTGTATTATTACCTCATAATTCTAGGACAAACCATCAAATTACCATTAAATACCAAATAGCAATGGAGTAATCTTAAGTGCATCAAGAAATTGGCATATGTTCGAAAAACATTGTATTTTCCTTAAAGTTGAATGATCTCTTTCTTCAAAAGAATTTTTTTTCCAAGTCTTGCAATGGTATCTAAATTACTAACTTTCCCAGAAAAGAAAATAGATTCGAGCAAACAAATTGAAGCATCGGAGATAATTCATGTGACGAAACACATCAAGGGGAAATTATCGCAGTTGCTAGGTTTGGGGGAATTGTTTCAGTGAGATGTAACATTATGCCTTGAGGCACGCTGCACATGAAGTTTTATAAATGCCATATGTCTTACGCCTTGGGTGGCATTAATCAAGGCTTACGCCTCAATTTACTGAGACTTTTGTCATGACTAACTATGGCTTACAGCTCAAGGCTAAGCCTCAAGTGACCGAGAGCAAGCACTCATTTGTCTTGCCTTTTTATGGCTAGGCCTCAACCTTCTGGCTTATCATAGGCTGAGCCTAGAATGTTTATGTGCTTTTTTGTTTTCTTTTTCTGCTTTTACACGGAAAGGAAGGAGAGTTGATAGGGACGAGGAAATACGTTGATATTTTCTTTAACATTATATCAGTAAAGATGATATGGGAGACTTCTAAATTGTTACTCTTACTTATAGTAGTATAAATTTTGGTATGTGATTACTAATTTGAGAACTTAGCATTTGCTACTTTATTGATAAAACTTATATTTGTTGCCAAATAAATAGTTCATTTTGTTAATTTGTTTAATTATGGATGTTCAAAAATTGTGATGGTTTATAATGAGCATGGTTTTATACTTTAATTTTTTAAAATTATTTTATTTCCTAGTCTCGATGCTTAGGCTTGATATGTGGTCGAGCGGCAAGCCTTTTTAAACATTGGTTTGGATGGCATGAGGTTTCAAAACACTTGATTCTACATGAACATACATCGATTCTACATACGCGTTTAAAATTGAGTTTGGTCTAAGATGTTCAATTTGTAGTAGTTTTCTGTTCTCTATAACATAAAGCATCTCTACATCAAAATGCTAGTATCGCTCATTAAGCAGAAATCCAAATTATTAACACTTCATATTTTGATCTGAACCTTTTAGTTCTATGCAACCTCCTAATTTCCATGTCTTGTTATTCTTAAAGTTATTTGGTATTCGATCATTTCTAAACCCACAAATGGCTAAAACCATTCATTCTTTCCAAGTCTCAAATCGGGTAACAAATGAAACAAAACACAACCAACGAATTGATAGTAAACTGTAATCTACTATAATCCTTTTGCATCATTTGTGAAAACATGTGAGAGTAAATTACACAAACACTGTGTGTAAGTTATCATCACACGAAAACCTCATGTACTTCTTAAAATTACAAAAATCTCCCAACCATTTTGTATTCCATAGCAGATTTACCCATAATTTAAAAAATCCCAATTGAACTCCACCAAGGCGAACAAAAAATGCCTCAAGGTACAAAATTATAAGGTAGTTTTTGGAGGAGATGCACACCTTAGTTGAGTGAGGCACACATCTCAAGGCTTGGAGGCGCGTGCTCCTCAATTCTCCAAACTTATTTACTTTGCTTTAGGTGTGGGCCTGACCCACAAAAATATTAAAAATTCTGATTGATCGACTTTGAGAATAATTGTATTTTTCTAACTAATCCACCTTAGGAATTAGCTATTATTAAAAATTGATTGACCCACTTTGAAAATAGTCCATTGCCTGCAACAATTAAAGTAATACATCCTTTTTATTATTTTGATTTTTTCATTATGAATTTTGAAGATTAGTTATAATTTATTATACACTTAGCATTTTATTAATTTTCATACAAATTTTTTTATTTTGTAGTGGGTGAGCTCAAAAGCCTAGACGCGTATGCATCGCCTCATGAGGGAAAAAAGCTTCAATACCCGATTATGTCATTCTATACATTGAATTCGCCCAACCATCTTCATAATGTATGTGAAACTATTATTAGAGGAAATTTAAAACAGTAATACCACTTTTTTTTTTTAAATTTGATAAACGTGGATGTCCGGGTTAGCTTGTGCGCACCTCGACTAATCGCACGGGCTCTGCAGTTTACGGCCGGGTACTCACATGGACCTGAGGGGACTCGACATAATACCACTTTCTTGAAATGGTAGAATCCCATTAACTGACTATTTAAAATTCAATCAGCCTCCAATCAATATAACACTCAAGCAAATACGTACAAAAATCACCTCATTAACACCGATAACAAGATCCTGAACTGTTAATCAAGGGCCATCACTAGAACTCAATTTTACACACACACACACATGCCAATGAATAATTTAAATTATTGAGAAAGGGAAAAAAGGGTTAACCATCAGAGCATTTAGCCATATTATCCTGGGCAGACGATTTGAAGGCAGACCGGGGATCCTTGCCATTGATTCCACCTTTCGCAAAGACAGCAGATGATGAGGAATGAGATCGCTCCATTTGCTTATCTAGGGCTTCCTGGATTCTCTTAAGATTCGCCACGTGTCCCATTTCCCCCTTCCCGGCTGCTCCTCCTCTTTCTCTATACATGATAATAATGTGCGTATATCACGTGTATATACGCAGGATGAACGGAATAAATCTCCCAATTGCGAGAAAGAGTGAAGAGGGTGAAAATTAGGGGTTTTTGGTTAGGGCTAAAAGAGGGAGCAGATTATCCCATTCTCCCTCTGATTTTCGTAATCTGATTTTGTGAATATATAGAGATGTATCTATATGTCTGCACGACAAAGTTGTGTTGGGTGGGGGAAGGGTGGGGTGGCGTGGCGTGGCGTGGCGAGGTTGATGACGAAGAAGGGTGGTAATACGTACCGGCGGGGACAGCTCAGCTTAGCTTTGCAGCGCTCTTTTGAAGATTTTTTGGGAGGGGAGGAAGTTTAGGGTGCAATTCTTTCATACGAGTTTTTGTGTGTTCGTGAGCACGTGGCGGATGATTAAAGGAGACTTTGGGGCGTTGATCTTTTATTCTTTTTAACAGTTGGGAGGTTGATGTTAGGGGGAAGATCTTTAGGGCTCAAATTTATCTTTATTTGGAAGTTAGAGCAACCATTCCAATTATGTAAGGTCCCTGTTAACGATGAGGCTCAGAGAGTAGAGCAGCATACAATCAGTCCAACAATGAAAAGAAAAGAAAGACTGCGAGAGGCGATTGTGTGAACAATATGATTTTCCGCTCAAGAGTGAAGCTACACATGCAATTATCAGTTTGGATTAATAGCAGAAAACTCTCCTAAAAACGTTTTCATTTGCGATATTCCCAATCTATTGAAAATCGCAGAAACCCCCCAATTTGAAACTTTTTGTATGAAAAACCTCCTTACCGTCAGATTTTCAGTTAAAAATGTCAAAATTAGAAAGGAATAATTACAATTTTAATATTCAAACTTTTTATTCTTGTACAAATTATACCCAATTTTTTTTAATGAACCACCCACAATCTTAAACATTTAAAACTTTATTTTTCACCCCACCCAACTTCATCTTCTTCCCCAAAACTTTATTATTTTATTTGATTCTTTCTAAAATCCTCTTAAATCACTCACTCCAAATTCATCATTTCTTCTTCTAATGAACGATGAAAAAACATGATCAATACACGTATATGCAGAATTTAATAGAGGCAATATTCATATGCACTCAAATAAGTGCAATTTAACTATTTTATATTGAAATTAAAATAAATTTAGAACACATTCACAATGGATGAACGCATTCCTTAAAGTGGTGAGAGAGAGTAAGAATACTGATTGTCAACTATTGATTTCTAGATTAAACTTTAACTAAACTCTTGTAGAATATATATATATATATATATATATATATATATATATTAACGATTTCTATGTTGAGTGTACATACGAGCAAAAAAAATAAAAACACTCAGGCTAAATAATATCTCTATAAGAAACTTCAAATTGGTCGTGAGAAGTACTTTTCTTAGCTCCTAAATCCCTCATCCCAAAAATTCATATTCGGAATGAGGAGAAGAAATGATGAATTTGGGGTGAGAGATTTATTAGGATTTTGAAAGTAATTAAATAAAATGATAAAGTTTTGGGGAAGAAGATAAAGTGTGGTGGGGCGGAAAATAAAGTTTTAAAAGTTAGAGATTATGCATAAAAAATTTTAGGTAAAATTTGTAAAAGAATAAAAAGTTTGGATACTAAAATTGCAATTATTACTTTTTAATTTTGACATTTTTACTATTTTTAACGGAAAATCTGACGGCATGATGTTTTCGTAGAAAAGGTTTCAAATATGGGGATTTTTTCGATTTTCAATAGATATGTAGTATATCGCAAATGGGAATGTTTATAGTGAATTTTCTGCTATTAATCCTTCCAGTTTCAACCAAAACTCTAATAATCTCAGGTAGAAAGGAGCATTCGGTGCAAAAGTTGTGTCGGCATGGAGACTTTGAACAATATGTAGCATTCACATTTGTTCTCGACAATAGAAAGCCCCATGGTTCGTGCAAACTAAAGGCATGTAAAGACGACTATCACTTCAGTATCTTCCATACTTAACTTTCCGGATAGTCTCTTCGATTGTGCACCAAGCATTGCGTCCATCTCAAACAATTGCGTCCGAATATATTAAGGCATCAACATTGAGTTTGAGGGAGACCATTAGATATGGATTCCATCTAACTTTCTCCCCTACAACTCTTTCCAGCCATGGTAAGAGGAGTCGATCATCCCAACCCAACCAAGTCGCCTCCATGTCCGCAATTAGTTATGGCGGTCATGGAGGTCATCTGTGGACCATCTGATTCCAGTCGTGCCAAATGAAACGAATCATGCAAATTAAGTAATTGAGATTTTGCATATTGGATTTGGTTGAAAGGCCACGAAGAATATCCTTTATACCCGTCCAGTTGATAGAGAGTTTAACTAAACACCAAAGTCTCAATGCTTTCCACATGGATCTGCCAGCTTCAAATAAAGCATGCATTAAATCCTCTAGCATGTCACATAAAACACACATTCCCGATGCTCTAGCTGTTGTCGATTCTTGGTCCCAGTTGGGATGTCCTCATTGAATACTCGCGCACTAGAATCGCGTGCCATGGGTGATATAGGTGAATTCCATCCCCCTTTTTTGTTCGAGTACCGCCCATATGATTCATAGTGCTAAATAAGTTTATTCAAGGGGGGCAAATTGTGAAGTGGAAAATGAGGTTGTCAATTTTGTGCTTATCCTACTCTCACGTGGCTATAAATAATTCAGCCACTTTACGTACTCTACTATGAGCCAATGTGATGGATATGAAGGATAATGGTCTAGGTAGCCACGAATCATCTAACACAAGAATAAACTCGCCATCCCCAACTCTCCATCGAGACTTCAATTGTCTTACTTCTCCTCCCCCAGGATACTACACCAGATAAAGGAGTCACCTACTCTACATCGTGCTATCATAAACTCCCAATTATTGAAATACTCTCCTTTAAGTAGTCAAGTTGGTAAGGATTCAGAGTCGTGGAGGAGTCTCCACTCCTATTTTGCGATTATAACTTAGTTAAAAAAAAAAACTCCAAAGTTAATAGAAAGAATAAAATGGAAACATAATTTTTTTATTTTTTGTAATAACTTCGAAATGTGTTTCTGTAATGTTAGTTATGTAAGAGATAAAAGATAAAATTAGACATGGTCATATTATTATTTTAACTTTTAAAATTATTATTATTAAAATAATATTAAGGCCTAATTCAAGTGATAAAAACAGAGGCTTATCAGGTCAATGGTGTAGGTCTGAGTCTCATTTAGAGCGAGAAGGGTGAAATTAAAAAAATAAAAACTCATAATAATAGCTTGATCGAGTCACAAATCTCAAAACTCTCCACGCTTGAAACCACAAAACCTCATAATACAAACACGCACAGACACAAACACTCGCCACTATAGACTTTGACAGATCATCGACGCAAACGATTGGGACAAAAGGCTCCAACAAATCACCACTTGCTTCCCGCCACATACTCAACCCAAAAAAACCACCACCAAACTTGCGAAGTTGACACATTGAAATCCCTCAAATATGAAGATTTGTAACTCACCTACCAATATGGATTCTAGCGGCAATGGGATGGAAGTTGGGATGTCGACACAGACAAATCCAGGAATTGGACCTAGCACGTGCAGAAACTGTTGACCGATAACTGTAAACAATCAACTATCGTAATAGCAGAATATATAATTCGATACATATATAAATGCACTAAAACATAAATCCTAATTTCCTAAAACTCTAAATTCCCAAATCACAATTTACAATACACAAACACAATTCAAAATTATAAGCCACAACTCATAGTTAATATAAATTCTCATTTTTCATAATTCACAAATTAACAAAAACTGAAAGAAAAAAAGGAATACAAAAACAGAAATATACAATCCAGCGGCTGCACCCATCCATAAATTCTCATTTACTCATTTACCATAATTCATTAATAGCAAATAGGAAATTGGCAAATTCAAATGCATTCACTGATTCACGGTTGTATATGATGCAATATCTTCGAAGTACTGTAAATTGAGTCAAAATTTAAAACTTTATTTGCTATGGATAAAAAAGATAAGGGAAATGTTTGTATATTTACAGTGGTGCAACCAAGAATTATCTTGAAGAAAATTATATGTGATAAGTGTGTTTTTGCACACTTATTTAATACTTAAATATACTTATTATTGATTAAAATGAGCGAATTTCTATTCACAATTATGTAATATTTGCGTTTGTAGGTAAAAATCACCAAAATGAAAGAGAACAATGTAAAAGAATAAAAAAATGACCAAAAACGTACAAAGATGTGAAGTTTGGGACCAAGTTGCACAAGTGTCGAATGTTGGAGGACATTGAGATGCAATTTATGGAGGGCAATATTGAAATGAAAGTCCAAATTCGAAGACCAAAATGTACAACATAAAAGTTGAGGGACAAACTATGCAATTTATCCCGAGGACCTCATGTGCAATTTTTGATTTCACAAGAGTGCGCACCCGCGCACTTGGCTTCTGGAATTGTGGGCACCTGTGCGTTAAAAATTTCCTAAAAAGATATTTTGAGGGTATTATGAGCTTTTGTTTATGCTCGATTTTGGGAGTATTTAAACACCAAAACTCATAACTCAAACCCTAGAAAGAGTTTTTGAGAGTTTTCTCTCTTGTGGGTTTTGCTTCTTCTTCCATTTTCTTTTCTTTTCTCTCTTCTTTCTTTCTTTCTTCCTTCATTTTCTCTTCTTTTCTTTTTCTTTTCATTTTTACTTGGTATTTTGGAGATCAATCAAGAGCATAAAAGGAGATTACATCAAAGTGGTGGAGAAATATTTGGGAGAATTCAAAGCCAAGTTCAAAAAGGGGTTTTATCTATATCTTTGTTTTTCTCAATTATTTTGACATATTTGTAATGTATTTGTATAAACATTCTCCTTTTAATCATACGTATAAAATGGGCTAATTGATTTTGTTGGGATTTGTGGTATTTGTCTAACCTAACTTTTAATTAATTTTAATATTTGCTCTTT